GCAAATAGAAGTGTGCCATCTCATCCGTAGGAATTTAAGAAGCCGTGCTTTTATACATCCATTTGATTGAACAGGACCATTTTCCGTTTCTCTTCCGAACGAAAAGACCTCATCGGCTCGAGCTTCAAATTAGAAGCGACTGACCATATTTCAATTCTCTTTTATTATATGTAAATGATATTGCTTTGTGAAAAAACACCTTCGTCGGTCTGGAAATGTAGAATTCTAAGTATACATATTTTATCGACTGCGGTAGCGGTTTTAGCGGTTCTAGCTGGCTTCGATGTTTGATATTGCTGATTACCGGAGTACGATCCGGTTCCGTGTCTTTTACCATCTACGGCTTTGTCGTCAATAAGAACAGTTCGTTACCCCGTATCATGCTGTTCTTCTACTCAGCGTCATGCAGGTATAATCCAATTTGATTTCTTTCGTTGGAATCCGAACACTAGCTGTTGATCCGTATTGCCATCGCTCCTGCACAGTGCTCCAACACACTGTTTGGCAGCTCATGAATCAGGATAAAGGTTTTCTCACAATGTGGAGAGGAAATAACTTGCCTGGAAGGATAGCGACGTCATTTCCACGGTTGTGCTGCATTCAAACGTCTAAACCTTGAGGCACTGAAACTGGAACGGGCCAGTATGTGAAAAAGCCTCNGTTTCAACAGTGGCGGGGGTCTAAGATCTCTTCTTACAGGCTCAGTTTGCTATAATTTCATATGATGTTATTGTGTTGCAAGGCGAAAGTGCTCATGCAGGGTGGCTCAGTTGCGATAGACAGGGTGAAGAAAGAGATAGCTGTCCGCTCCCCTGGAGATGACAGTCAGTCGTGAATGGAACAGCACGCTGTGCAAAAGAAGTATGGGCTTTTGGGAAAGCAAAGTTTCAGTCGTAGCATACAACCCCCACAGAAACGAAAATTTAGTCCGGCCCTCGGCTCTTACAGTAATCCGGCATGGCTGGCTCGGGGGATGGGCACTACCTGCGCCCTACCTAATTGCGCGACGAAGTTCGTGACGATTTGTACGACTCTGACTCCCATTTCTGAAAAAAACTCGGAGTAGAGTAGTATAGTAGGGTCAGGTAACCATTCTAATCTTCTCTACTTCAAATTTGGGCCCCAATGATAGGCGCTAAGTTGTTCAAATCGTCACGAACTTAGCCGCGCGCATCCTCGGACGCACGTAAGTCCACACACCTCCTCAAGTCTTTAGTATTACAAAAAATGAATGCCCGAACTTCTCTACTACTGTATACTCTCAGCACCCGAAACAAATGCGCATCAGTTCTAACAACGAGTTTACGAATTCGGCGATTTCGGGGTTATTGAATTATAGTAATACCTTTTTTTGAAATTTTTGGAAATATTCCTTCAGCATGTCTCCGAAGTATTCAGTCAAAGAAGAACGGATCTGCTAGACTCCTGTGGAGAGAGTATTTTGAAAATTTAGAGAAAATCATGCGACGCAACACGTGCTAGCAGTACAAACCGGCGTTCCTGCTTTACTGCGCCAGTTACCAGGGCCACTGTTCGTGATCCGTATTAGGCTCCAGGCATGCAGCCAGGCTACCCAACCCCAATGTATGGGTCTGAATGGGTAGTGCATATAGTGCAGTGTAGCTGTTATTTCTCGCACTTATTTCCTTCCACCTCAATAGGTGCTTGAACCGTAATTGAATTCTTCCATATGAGATTCTAGTGCAATTCCATCCATCCACGCACTAGAATGCACTCAGTCTAACAGTAAGTAACGCTGAGCCCATGTACTAGCATTACACTTGTTGTTTGTTTGTTTGCAAGTTTGCAACGTCAGGACAGAAATTGCTGTAGTAGATCCTAAATATCTACCGTTGCTCGGGTCAACCTGCTTTAGTCGATTACATTTGCCTTTTCTGAACGCTGCACAGCCTTTCCTATTCTGGATGGCTCTCCACTTCAACTATCTGTTTGTTGCAGGCATTCATGAAGTTGGCAAAAGGCCGTTTTTCGTAGCTCTCGCATGAAATGGTCCCTCTAGAGCTACTCATCCGTACCGGCTTTCAACATATTCATTTCAACGCTTTCTTAATAGCGCTCACTTTCTGGTACATATTCAAACAATTCCCTTGAAATTTGGTATGGATTTAGCCCTTATATTTACGTTCATATCGTGGTTTCTGCTGTTGCATGTTTTGTGGTGTACTTGAGATATTGAACTAATGGATTCTTACCTGTTTTGCCATGCTAATGCCATACTTGTCCAAGGTTTTTATGAAAATGAAGAATAACATGCTCCAGAGTAAAACCCGCGTACAAACGGTTGGCGGTAAGAATCGCGTTTTGAATTTGTCTTGCCGGAGATGTTTTTTGTTTTATTTGGCCGTGTTCCCATTGTCTCGGACTTTGTAATTGCACCCTACATAACACTAAATGCACTGCTAATTGAAAAACTTCAAAAAGTGATATTTTTTAAAGTACGCTTGCCATTGTGGACATTATTGAGCTCATGACTGAATGATTAACAATTGCTACAGCCAAAAGTAAAATTCGACTCGTGTATTTGAAAGAAATGGTCACGATGGACCATGAAGTTTACACTTGGGCTGCAGTCGGGGGTGAAAATAAAAAGCGTCGGTCCCTAGCAATTCTTTCACCCCGGACGTGATTGTCGTCAATTTTTTAAACTAAGATTATATGTATTAATCCTGATACTCACTCTATTCACCGATAATCTTCAAGGTGCATGACTTTGGCGAATATTAAGAATCGTATTCGTTGCTCATGTATGGTGCTCGTGTATGATTGGAGATGATGCACCAGAAAACTGATGAGCAAAAGAAAGAACTTAAAAAGGAACCAGCTGTGCTTGGCGAAACAACGTCTCAAAGCAAGTTGAGCATTTAGAACTTGATTTCTTCGAGTTATTTCGCGCTCATTTCTTGTATAGACTATTTGTAGGCATCTACCATGGAGCGAAGTTGCGATAAAGAAAAGCCTCTTCAAAGCCTCAATCACTCTGAGGCGTGTTTGCGCGTCAAAGAGGAAGAACCCGACTGGACCAGCTCCGCCCCTGTGGTTCGCATTTGCTCTATCTATCTACTCTTATCTTTTTGTACAACTAGAAATCGTGATAGACATACATGTCAGAAGATTCAGATTCAGGTGAAAACGGAAGAAATCGATCAACCAGAATCAGCTGTTGGAGAGGTAGTTTTGTTATATACATCTAAATATTTTTGTATGCTACATTCTCCTCATTTCTTCCTTCCTTTCATAATCGTTTTATATCATGTTCATTCTACTCTTCTGTTCTCCTTTACCCCTCTGATGAGCACGGAGGGAGAATACACTGATGTTGTCGTTGTGCGTGATCACAATACGAAACGGTCGAAGAGATTCGGTCTCGAAAAGATTACTTTTGGCATAATTCTACTGTTTGTTCTTTTGTTCTTGAATTTCTTGCTTGCTGTGAATTCTGCTACATTCCTTCGCGCGCGGCGTCTCCGTCGCCGCGCCGCGACAATTTCGTTCATATTGCCCCACACCCCGTTACTTTTGCTTGCATAGCCAGTGTATGTATTTGTCGACGACTACGTATGTTTCAAGCATTGCAGTTGAATTGAGCATTATTGTTTAGGTTGATGCTGCTATTGCTGCACGCCCCCATGTTATTGATGGCAAAACTGTTAATCCTGAGCGAGCCATGCCTACGGACAAGGACCGTGACACACCATATGTGTCCACCAAGCGTCTGTACGTAAGTGGGGTTCGTGAGGATCACACGGAACAGATGTTCACTGAATACTTTATAATGTATGGAAATGTCGTGAAGGTGAGAAAGGGCTTTCATTAGACGAAATGATTAAAGTAGTTAGTTTTGCAGTTTGTTGGGAGCTGTTTTATACGCGATAAAGTCAACGCATAACTTATGATCAGGCTCAAAAACCTCGTGACCGCGTGTACCTCATGGGTCGATCTCGTGGTGATGCTCCTGGAGGATGGCCAGGGGATTGGGGTGAACAAGTCTGTGGGTGTTACAGACAACAAGGTGATTACGGTGAGTTCTGTTGTTGATGACTGAGGTCTACCGCTTTCTTTTTCGCTTTTGTAGTATCTAGATTTTCTTACAATCACCCTTCTAAGGTGCCACAGCTGCAAACCTATAATTGCAGGTTACGGTGGACCTCGAGGAAGTGGTTATGGACAACAAAGTTATGATGGATATGGACAGCGACAAGGATGGGGCCAGCAAGCCGGAGTATGGACTGGTCAGCCGTGTGGTCACCAGCAATGGGCAAGCGCTCAAGGTTGCGGCAGATACTGGTCTACTGATTGCCGGACTGTCTGTGTCCGTTTTGTGGGTTTCCCATCCAGTGTTTGATCTCCTGCTCGTTGTTCTCATTCTTACTTTCTGCGTTATATGCTCATGTTCTGGTACTTGACTGTGATGGAGTAATTATTAATGTTTCAATAAAATTTTGTGATTTGTATTGTGTCGTGATGGGATACCAAACGTCATAGAGGCTTATCGAAACTTTTGTAAAATATTAGGGTAATTGACGGTATTATGTTGTTCAGGCCTTCTATGGGTGAAGTGTTCGACGTAATAGATGCTGTACGAATAATCCTACTGCTACATGACCGACGCATGACCGACGCATCACGAACATACCCCCTTTTAATCCTTTCTTTTGTCTCTATTATTAATCTCTTCATAGAGAGATTGGCTCATCGACCGATTCAACACACCTGCGCTTCCTTTTTATACGTTTCGGAAAGG